TAGTATAATATTATTATATAAATAAGTAGTATATATATATATATATATATATATATATATATTATATACTCTTATGCGTCAACGCATTTTAAAAGATAAAAACTCCCAAATTTTGTGCTACGAAGAATGATAGTTCCAAGTTAGCCCATTCAACATATGGGAGTAAAGGACGGTCCAATTACTAGTATTTGGGCTTCAAGTATGGCCTATTGATTTTCATGTTCTATTTTGTGTCCACCTTTTAACTTTTGTCTCTTAGTAATAAATAAAGACGATATATTACATAATTAAACATATTTTACCATCATATATAGTATTATTTATACATTTAAATATTATGAATCTTATAACTAATGAAGAGTTTTTTACCATGTATCGAGGAAGATACACTTGTATACATGTATTTTTGCAACTGGATACACTAAAAATATGGAGACAGATGAGCGAGATAGTCATACATCCTAGTTACATATGAATCTTAATAAACACATACTAGATACATGTATCTATAAGTATCTAGGGTGATTTACATGTGTCGGGAATAGTAGATACATATAAGAGTGGCAAGCGAGATAGGAGGGAGACGAGCGAGATTCGTTATGTATCTCATATACATGCAATCCACTTAAACATTGTGTATCTAAAACAAATCATATCCAATTTGACCTTGTATTTATCGAAATTCATTTATTTGAACATATTTGCACACACGAAAATTTGGTAAGATGATTCATAACAACAAATATTAAGTAACTCTTTTGCGAGGCATGATTATATATATTTTCATATCATAATTGTTCCATGAGTTGTGTTTTCGTGACCTCTTTTGCTAAATGATAAACAACATTGATTTTCTTTTTTTAAATTTTGTTGTTGCGTGTTCTATCTGTGATTCTCTTTATATTTTAAAAATTATTTTGGTGAGTGTTTGGCCAAATAATAGTAGAATGACGTGAAAACACTATGCAATATTGTACTTCAATTAGCTCAACAACTTAACGTTTTAATTATTTTTCATAAAGAAAAGCTTCCTCACCCACTCTCTTCCCCACAATGATAAATAAAACTAGTATTAAGATGTGTGAATCTCAATATATATTTTAATATTAAGATGTGCATTAAGATTTAGATGAGTAAATCTGATTAAATATCTGAATATTAAGATTTCTTCTCCAAATCTAAATACTGAATTAGTGAGGTTGTTTTGTTTTCAATATCTTAATGTGCATATGAAATTAAACGCTATACCAATAAAATATTATAAAAACCTCAATTTAGTAAAATAGTTTTCTTTATAGAAAAGAATATTTGAACATTTTTATCGTAACAAGGAAAAATGATTTATCTTTTCAAAATTTAATATTAAGTGACATCATTAAAAAACTATTCATTGTACTAAAAAAAATTGACAATCTAATATAATACAATATAAAATAGTTTATATAGAGTAGTAATGTAATATTTAATTTTATAACTGACATTCATTATTTTTATCGATCAAATAATTAATATTTTTTTATTTTCTGGAACCATGTTGAATATTATATCATGAGAGTGTATATCAATATTCATTAATTTATGAAAATAAAAGACGCTTATTAAGCTAGTAAGAATAAAGAAAAATATAACGGGCATGCAATTAACATTATTTGAATAAAAAGATCTTTTATGAGTGTTATATTTTAGTCTAAATGGTGATAAAGAGTGTACTACCTATTTGTCCACTTGGACATATTTAGACTCATAGAGATAATTTTAAGGAAATAAAACAAACAAATTAATGGCTAAATTTGAATAATTAAGATTGAGTCATAAAAAACAAACACACTCAATGAGGTGAATTTAAATAATTAATATTCAAACTTACTTAACGAGGCCTTAAAGTTAATAGACCAAGAAGGAAAGAGAAATATGCTATATTTATTTTGGTAGTCAACTACATAGGCTATAAATATGACACAAAGTAAACATTCCATCATCATCAAGTGACACAAAAATTAAGATATGGCTTTTCAAGTGTGGACAATTTCCCTCATGTTTATGATAATAGGGCTATGTAAGTCTTTTACATGATTTGACCTT